TTGTTCCAAGGTTGCTCCTTGATGATTGTGTATGCCTCTAGTGTTTACTAGAGAGGAGAACTTGTTGTACCCACTTGATTCTTGGTGATTAGTGGAAGTTTGGGAGCCGTTGTTGAGCGGCCGTGGTTTTCTCCCCGATTTGGGGTTTCCACGTAAATCGTGTGTCATCTATTTTATTATCGCTGCCATTTATTTGTGTGTGTGCTGCTGATTTTTCAGAGTTCATTGTGCTTGTTATTCATCTCATTAATTTGGGGAAAAGATTTTATACGCTTCCGTTGTGTTTTATTTCGTGCTTCCCCAACAATTGGGTAGCCGACTACTGGATCGCCGGTGAGCGGCGGCCGACTTGATCCGACGTTCATAGCAGAGAAACGAGTAACGAAACCTCAGGAGGCTTGGCCCACCCAACTGGCAATGCGCACTTAAAGGTTGAATGCCCCGCCATCCATGCGCGCAATAATCGTAATACAATTATCATTTAAAATTCAATTATACTTCATATCTACTCCTCCGTTCTAAAAAACACTTCCTCTTTCATTTTTTCCACTTCTAACAAAACACTACCTCTTTCTATTAAAAAACCACTTTTACCCTTACTTTTTCATACCTTACCTATCACATCATACTTTTTTCTCTAATAATTTATCCATCACATCTTACTTTTACCCATCACATCAGGGGCAAAATTGGAAATCAACTATAATTGAACACTTCCTTATTTTTGCTCTAAATCAAAATGGGAATTCTTTTTGCAAACGGAGGGAGTACTACGTATATCTCTATCTATTTAGACACAAAAAATATCTGAATCCGTTAAAAATATTTTTTATTCATACTTAATTAAGAATATCTGATTGGAAAATAGATACATATTTGAAAATTATAGATCTCATCCGTTTATAATTTCTTCTACATATACATCCATTTGAATAACTATTTATTTGTTCATCCGATGTGTTACAGTCGTGATATAGTTATGATGGGAGAACTACCATCATAACACTAATATATGCTTAAACTATCCAATGTAGCACTGCTATGAGATATTGGAACTCGTGTTGATGCAATTCCAAATTTATCCTTGCATTTCACACTGCCAAAAATAGTGTTTAAGTTGGTATACAATTCCTAAACATGACCATAACACACTGCCGTCATACCCAATACAACATATATCCACACTACCAAAGCATGATCATTCCACACTACCAAAAAATGTGTTTATGTTCGTATACACATCCAGAACATGAGCATAATACACTGCGAGAAAGTGTAGTTAAATATTGTGAACCATAACACACTGTTCAAAAGATGGGCATAACACACTGCCAGAAAGTGTATCCATACCACGACCATTCCACACTGCCAAAAAAGGGTATGATTGTAAGAGATTCATGCCATAAATAGCTAAATGTGTGAAAAACATTTAGGAGTGCTATATGTGTAATATTAGATGTCTTAGAGTGCTACATAGAGTGATTTCTAAAAAAAGTTTAAGTCGTACATTAGGAAATGACTTATGTTTTAGTCCTATTCTGTGCAAATTTCACTTGAACTAACAATAGAGTGAAGTCAATTGTTAAATTTTGAACTATTAACAGAAAATTGCTTCCTTTTTTCAAAATATTCATATAAAGTGTTTGATGAAATAATTAAAAGTCAATCTGAACAAAATAAACTGAGGCAAATAATATTCAATTTTAATGAAAAAAGATGCGAGATATATAGTAGGCTTTAAATTCATATTCTTCACGTATCTACTTTCATGCCAAGTGTGTGAACTTGAACTGTTTCTACTCATCTTTCAAAAATATGTTTTTTTCAAAAGAAAAAAAATATTTCTCCATATTTTGCTTGAAAAAGAAAATCTTAATGCTTCCCCTTCTCCTTTTCATGCTCACCATAATTCTTTCTCTCCTCTCTTCAGTTCTTTCTCTTCTCATCTCTGTTCTTCAGTTACTGTTTAGTATTTTCCCTCTGTCTATCTGGAATTTTATAAAGCCGTTCATCGTCCCCTGCCTCCTCCTGATCTATATCTTTCTCCCCGTTTTGATTTTCCTCGTTCTCGAGTTCTTCGAGTCCGATCTTCCGCTTCTCCTCTTCTTCACCTACCTTTTCTTGTTGATGTTGCTCTTCCTTTTCTTCTTGCTACACACACGGTATGGGACTCCCCTGCCACCGCTCGATGTCCATGATGGCCCGCCACCGGCCACGGGTGTCTATCCGGATCCGATGGTGGGCAGCCCGATATTGAATCGGATCGGATGGCCTAGATCTTTTGGGTCGTGAGAAGCGTCGAACCAGACGGAGCGGCTCGTCTAACGTCTCGTTTGGTGTTTTCGAAATGTACGTACATTCTTCGTTCTTTTTCATTGTCTCGTTGACTTTTCTATATTGAAAAGTGAATGAATACAGACATAATAATATACCCACAATTCATTTTCAAGTCAACAAGACAATTAAAATGTTAGTGTCAAGAAGTTATAGAGTATTTGTCCAATTTGATTATTTTTGCAATAAAATAAAAATAAATTTTATATCCTCACAAAAATGATTTCTCTTGCAGAAAAATTCAAAAAAAAAAAAGTTTTTCCTATATTAACATGCAATACATTTTTTTTAAAATTCTTAAACAAAATTTGTCCAATTTGACTATAAAAAAATTAAAACTGGACAAGTAGGAGCAGTATGTTCTTACATGTGCAATGAGGGAAAAAAACAACTTCAATATATGTACACTTCACTAAAATAAATGAATCACAGAAAGTGTATTGAAGAAGAAGAAGAGAGTGGTTTTGTTGTTGGGGTACCAGTGATCAAGAGTTGTGGGAATGGGAGTCCTCCATCATCATCCCTTTCAAGCTCTTTGCCAACCAGATTGCAGTCTCCCTGGGGGACACCTTCTCCTTCCCGAAGGGCTTCAGAACGACGGCGAGCTCTTCTAGCCTGTTGTGCTCTAAGAGCTCGGCCGACAGTTCCAATAGCCCTTCTAGGGCATCCGCCCTCTGCCTGAAGGACTTCACGTCCAACGTCTCCTTCGTTGGACTTGTTTCGTCCCCGGCCGCAGGCTTCGGCGGGTGCTCGAGAGATTCTCGAACCGGAGTGGGGACCACGCGAATGATGTCACCGAAAGCGGCGGATGATGACTTGTCGAGAACCGCCGCACTTTGCAGAGAGTTGCCGTTCTTCTCCGGTGATGAAGTCTTTGGGGGCACGGTTTGTTGGTCCGGAGAGGTGGGCCCGGAAACCGGAGGGGCGGTTTTGGTTGCCGAAAAGACGAATTCGTCCTCTTTAACAATGTGTTTGTCGTCGCCGCCACCGGGCGCGGCAGCATTCTTGGAAAAAACAGCGGGCCTGCTTGTCGGAGCATCGTCTTGGAAAGTAGTGGGCCTGCTACTCCGAGTGTCATCTTCGAGACTGGCGGGCCCACAGGGCGGAGCTACAGTAAAACCCGCCGTCGGTTGGAAGCATTCTTCGTATTCCCTAAAACAACAACCCTCGGGGATGCTATCCGCGGGCACGGACGCGGTAACCGAGCAAGGCGGGCTTGATCCGGCGATGCCCGTATCCGGGGCCCGTTCGGGAGTCCGATTCAACTCATCATCAAAAAGTCTAACAACGGGTGCGGTTGGGTCACAGAGTTCGAATCCTTGAATGGAGACCGAAGACGACGAAGCAGCAGAATTGCTGCAGCTATCAGCTTGCAGTTCGTTGGGCGCTCCGGCGCAAGATGGCTTGTCACTGCTGATGTCATCCACGGGAACGGGACAATCGGGCCCCACCTGCCTCGTCATCCTCGTGGGAAACGAAGGCCGCCGGTTCAAATTCGGGTGCGGTCTCTGTTTCGCCGCCCGCGGGGGCAACCGCTCTTCGGTAGGGGTAATGTGTTTCGCGACCCCTTGTGGAGGAGAGGCTCCGTCGTGCTTCGGCTTCGTCTTTGGAGAGGATTCAATGGCAGGCAACTACAAAGACAACAGGTTTAATGAAAGCAAATACTCATATGTTTGGAGTCAAATAGGCCTATACACATTCATACCTGATACTTCAGGGAAGGCATAAAATGAGGCCTTTTGACACCACAGTCGGGACCCACCTTCACGGATCCGTCCACATTCGCCCTAGAACTAGGGGTGCCCGGACACGGCTTTGGGACTTTATTAGGTGACATTTCAACGGCTTTCTGTGTGCCCGCGGAGCTGCCCTTAGGCCGGGCAGCTCTCATAGGGGATGATGAGGTATTCTCCCTACCCTTTCCTTCCCTCAATGCCATCATTATGTTCCGTATAGTCCCCGGTGGTTTGGAGTCCAAATTACATATGCGCCCCCCTGCCTCCTGGTCCTCGGTCTTTTCGCTCCAAGCGTCTTCTGCTACGGGTAGCTCTTTGGGATCATGGGTCCCACTTCCCTCATCCGGAATGGCCAAAACAGGATCAGGAGAACCCCCTTTCTTGTTCTCGCAATTCAAACTGTCCCTATCACTGCAAGAACTGGCAGTACTGCTTTGGCTCTCCCCCATATTCCTTGGACTGCTGTTTAGAGGCTTCTCTGTGCCTCTCACCGGGGGAGAATTGACTGCAGATGGCATGCGGTATTGTGCGACATATGTCTGCAAAAATGGGTGTTTGAGGAGTTCTGATGCCTGAAGAAGAAGAAGAAGAGATGATATTAAATTGATATGAACTTCACAGAGAATAAAAAAGAAATCGTAGAATCTGCTTCTAAAAGGGCTTACGCTGGGCCGATGCTCGGGATTCTTTCTTAGCATGCACTTAATAAGTGATTTCCTGTTTAAGAGTATCATAATTATCCTCACATCATATGCTATTATAGAATCAATAGAGTAAAAAGAGTCCTTTTTTTTACAATTTTTTTGGTTCAGGTGAATAATGGACTCAATCAAAATGGCACATTAAACTTCCTTTATTTCTTGCTTTCAAAGAAGTTTTGGATGGTAAATGTAGCAATGCACCAAGGGTCTAACAGAAACAGCCCAATGAAGTTGGGATCATATTGTATTACGTGTTATAACATTTAATTTAATTGACAAGCATGCGGAAAAAACATATCGTGAGGGCGTTTATGGAATTCGCAATGGGAGGAGTAACATCTATTCTTATATACTCCTTAGTCTTTATTTATTAGCCGGGGTGTTTGATGTGGGACTTTTATACTCAACAAATATAGAGAAAGAGTGACGACGTGAGACTTACAAGGATGGAGAATAGAATGAAGGAAGAGGCCCAATGGAAGAGCGGTTAATCTTGCTTATTAGTCCAGCCATGTCCTTAACCACGTGAAAGTCCACGACCACCACACATCATCATATACCAAAAAAAAAAAGGAAAGATTTTGTAAGACCCTTACATTTTATATTCAGAGTAGTCGCATTTTGGGGTCAATTTTCACTTTTCATTACATTAGCATTAAAAAAGGGTAGGAAAATAAACAAGTTTAAACAGTCTTACAAAAGCTTTAAACGCAGGCCGATGTGCTGCCATCTCATATATACAACAACCTGGTCAAAATAACATAAAACAACTTCAATATCGGGATTAAAGCACCCCCCCCCCACAAAAACAATGATAAACCCAGTAAAATCACATAGAAAGTAGGGTCTGAAAAGGGTATGTGTAGGCACACCTTACCCCTACTTGGTAGTAGAGAGGCGATTAACGGTCTCTAGCAACAATTTAAAAAAATACATAGCGTCTAAAGACTTGTGAGAACAAGTGGCACTAAGTGTGAGTCCATACAGTGTAGCCAATTTTACTTCAGTCCACAACTTAAAGGCATGGATCAATGTGCCTTAAAAACTTAAACGTACCTAAAGACCATATGTCAGATTTAAAACCGTAAGGAATGTCTGTGAGAAGTTCAGGGCACATATAATTGGGAGTTCCGACAACCTTAACAGGGAACCACAAAAGAATTAAAAAAAAATCATAGTCATTTACTAAAGATGAAACATAATCTAAAAATCCAAGAATTTAGCACATACTGAAGAAGCCAGGTCATCTGCCTTCAATGTTTTAGCAAGTCCGAAATCGCCTGTAAAGAGAGCAGCTTTTCATAAAGGAATGGACTACCTGTGAGATGAAATTGCAAAAGAACCAGTAAACTTACCGAGGCGCACATCTTGTTCCTTGGTAAGAAAGATATTAGAGCACTGCCATAAAATCGATAAGTTACCCTCTGTAAATAAATCTTATCCTACTAAGGGTCTTTTTTTGCTGAAATTTACTTAATTGAACTGAAAAGTGTTGAACTTTAACTAGAAGTTGAATACTTTAATTTTATAACAGTGTAGAACTGAACTGAAAATGAGTTGAACAGAAAAGGCGAGCAGTACAAGTAGAGCATACAAAACCCAAATACAGTACTTCGTAATGAACAATAAAACACATACTTTGAGGTCACGGTGCAGTACATAGTTTGAATGTAGATATTCAACTGCCAAAAGTAACTGAGTAAACCACTTCATAAGTTTCTGCATCAAAACATTGTTTCTTTAGTGGTCAAACAACACCCAGAATGAAGAACAGGTAATAATGAGAATCATGATTAGCTTAGTGTCATTTTGGGAAAGGTTTTGTTTACATTTTTGTTTTTCCCTGTTTTGTTCACTTTTCTGAAAATTGATGCAAGAAAATGAAGTTGAAAGTAGGGTTTTAGCTCCGATTTCTGGAGAAATTTGAAAATCATTGGGAATATGCATTTGTGTCCATTGTCAATGGAGCTAAAAGAGTTGTAATTGACTATCTTGACCCCCAACACATCAGCAAAGTTGGGATTATAATGGGGTGTTGTTGTATTGGGAGCATCCATTTATTGTTTTCAAATGCATTTTACTGATTTTGAAAATATACAAATCATTTATTGTTAGTACTCCATAATATAAATCACATTTACAAAACAGAACTGCCAAGCATGTTCATATACATTTGCATATACATACATACATACATACATACATACATACATATATATATATATATATACATACATATACATACATATATATATATATATATATTAGAAATATGAATATAAAATATGGAGTAATAGAATACACTAGCAATATTTAGAAAACAGAAAAATGTTAGAAAGCAAGACTGAGCTATCCTCTTTCTAACCCTTCAACACATCTCACTATATTCAGAGTTCACAACTTGAACTAAACTATCAACAGCATACCTCTTCTGGGAAATACTGTCCATTTGCCTTTTTCATCAATTCAGCACTATAAAAGTTTAACCAAAAAAGAAACTTGATTAATTTTTTGTAACAAAAAGAAGAGTATTATTCAAACTAAACAGAAAAACAGTTTGTATAAACCTACATGTCACCTCCTTCACAATAGCCCGTAACAATGCAAACGTAGCAGCCCTGCATTAGAGTTTGCACGACAATCGACATATATGAACTTTAGCTAAACAAGTCTTATACCATAAGATAAAGGAAAACGCTAATTTAACCCCACGGATGACACCAATGTTGAGACTAGTGGTTATTGTCTTTGAGATACTAGCGACGTAAACCTTGGTGTCATCGGTGGTGTGACTATAGCTCGAGAGAAAATCAGTAGTTCAATTTGGTCCAAGGTTAGTCTCACCTTCTCCACCCATGCTTCCTTGAATTCAACAATGTATGGATGTTGAATCCTTGCAATTAATGCCATCTACAAATCCAAAGTTTGAACATGTACAAATCCCACATGAATAAGTATCTTCATACAATGACATGTATATATGTCTCTTGAGCTGAGGCAGCCATAAATGACAAAGGAAAAAACTCATTAAGACAAATGGCTATGTTTGGTATGTGTTAAGTGTTATTTTGACCAAATCCGCAGATTTTAAGGGCATTTGGTGAGGAGCTAGTTAATCTGCTAATTTGATTATTACAATTATGGAATCTTTTTTTTTTTTTTGCTTTGACATTTGTTTCACACATAGAAGTAGACAGTTGGAGTGAACAAAACTTTCCCCTTTTTTCACAATTAACTATTTCAAGAAGATATTAATAAAAAACAAAAGCAAAACAGAATCAAAGTTATGATGTAATAAACAAAACAAAACAAAAAAAATAACCTCCTGATGAGCAGATTTTCTGCAACGCTCAGTCTGCCGAGCTAACCTGATCTTCTTCAAAACATATCTACCATTTAACAGAAAAAATAAAATAAAAAACATCAATTCTTGGAAGAGGAAAACCTCAAAACGATCATAAACCCATAAGAAGACAAGAAAACAAAGAAAGATTCATACTTCTTTTTCTCCTGCTTGTGATGAACTAGTATAGCAGCGCCAAATGCTCCTCTTCCAATCTGCTCCATAATCTCATACTGATCCATTCTTGACTCCCTCTCAAATCCCCACACTTCCAGAAACTTCAAGAAACCGAACAAACCAACAGAATCAGTCAAAACCCACTCTAATCCTCCTCGGATCCTCCACAGAATCCGCAGCCCGTTTGCAGAACCGACCCTTTTCTGATCTGGGTATTCCTATTCCTATTCCTATTATTCTTTAAGGCTGTCATTTAAGGCAGGGAAAATGACAGGCTTGCTTTAGGGAGGGGCATGTGGGTGTGTTTTTTTAGGTCTTATGTTCTTGTTTTTTTCCTGGTTGGATCGATTATACCTGGAGAGGATCTGGAAGAAACAGTTGTCCCGGCTCCGAATTGATCAATCTTCTTTCATGTTAGTGATATTTTGCCAGTACAATAGTGATTGAAGTGAGAGATTTTTCATTACGGGACTGATTTTGGGTAGGTAGTGGGTTAAGTTACTGGTCAGGGGTCACTCTTCTTCTTGCTACAAGGGAAGAAAGATGAAGATTAATGGCAAGTTAGGATGATGTTTTGGGGAAAGTCAATTGGGTTTCTAGCATTGATTAATGCAATCTTGGTCCCATGAAATTTCTTTGCTCACTATTAAGAGAATACTTACAAAAAAATTTAGTAAAGTCTTTCACATAAAAATAAAATTTTTAGCAATATAAATGTATGTTATTCTCGATAGTGAATATTAAGAGACAAAAAAAAATTTGATAAAGGCACAAACATTTTTCAACTCCATACCTCTACGATTAAGGGCGGGTCAGGACATATTGGCTCGTTCTCCACAAGCAAACTTTCACCTTCGGCGCAATGGGGATACACCAACGGAGAACCCAATTGAAATTTGTCAAAAGAAATGTAATTTTGTTATCTCTAATTTGTAAAACTTTTAATATTATTTTTAAATATATATCAAGTAAATTTTATTTTTTTATTTTGAACCAGTATTTGTAAAAATTAAATATGGAGCAGAAAATAATTTTAATCTTATATAACACTCCATAATCTTCAACACGAAAGTATTTTTGAGATGAAGGGTGTACTCCATGTGTATCGTAAACATGTTCCACATATCTTGTTAGCGGGAAAAAAATCATATTACTTTTTGAAATTTTTTATGTTTTTCATATAATATTTCTCTCCGGCACAAAACACGACTATAAACTTTTAATTTTACCAATAACTAAGTATATTCGACTAGTTGTGAAACCTTATATAGGGACGGAAGAAGAACGCTGTCTCCGACCAATGTATTCTCGTCCAGTTAGAATTCTACAAAATTAACAAAAATAAAAAGTTTTACGCGAGTAACACTTGCACACATTCACGATAAGCTTATTCTTATTACTTATGAAGTACTTGGATTTAAGAAACATCCCTATTTAAAATTAGATCAATTAGTATAGATCAAATCAGAAACATTCACGTGAAATGAGAGAGTAATAAATTGAGATGAAGAACATGCCTTAAATTGGTAAGGCTTGTTTGGTTTCATCACATTAATTGCTAGTAAGAGCTTGAGAGGGGTCAAATGGCAATAATGTATGGCAGATGGTGTCCGCCACCTTCCCTTCTCTTATCATCAATAACCCATATATAGTTGAGTAGTAAATGTATTGAACTTAAAAATATAAATGGATCCTAAAGTTAACTAATTTGAAGGTGTAATTGAAGTGGGTGAGGGTACAAAATGTTGATGAAGAAAAGCAAAAATCGGTATACCAAACAGAAAAGCATCGCAGTGCCAAACACTCTCATACAGTTTGTTCCTTCAGCTTTATTTTTTCTAGTTATTACATATTCTTGTTTGAATCAGATGTGATCAAATAAGTTCAGATCAGATCATATAAGTTCAAATCAGATCAATCATAGATTTAAGTTCCACTACATTCAGATTAGATGAGACAAATTCAATCCATGTCAAATCAGATCAGAACTTAATAAATTTAGATCACAACCAATCAGATCAGACAAAAAAAACGAGCCCTTATCCCACCCCATGTTCCAGTGACCAAATACATCTTACTCCCTCGGTCCTATAATGTTCTTCCTGTTTATGTTTACGAAATTTGATCGACTTTATTTTCAATTCAATTAATTTGATTCTAGGTGTAAAATTAAAAAATAAAATTTATATATTTAAAAATTACATCAAAAGTTCTTCAAAACAAGTGGTGACAAAACTATATTATTTTATCAAATAGGTAAAAAAAAGTGATTAAAGTTTGGCCATATAAAAAGTAACTGAGAAGAACATTTTAGAACGGAAGGAGTATGTTGCAAATTTTTTCAAACAAATATTGATCCTCAACCTCGAAACGTCCCTGACTGAAGGATACATTGGACCATCTCAACACCCAATTTCTTTGTAAAATTTGGAAAAATTAGTATTTTCTAGTTTTTGGCCACATTCTTGTCCCTACAACTTAGGTTGCCATAAAGCACTACAAGTGGTGTGTGACATTATTTTTGTACTACGTGACAATATCTAAACAACAACTCTTCATTTTCATGTTACAAAACCAAAAGCCAATCTCACATAAACTTCACACACCACCCTTTTTGAATCTTTCATACATCAAAGCAACAAACCCTATAAAACCCGCCTGGAAGTAAGGTTTGAGGAGAAAATATGTACGCAGACTTTATCCCTACACAGACCGAAGCCTTCATTCATCACAAAAGAAAGAATATAGAATTTGCCAGTTGCATCTACTATCCACCCAACCAATCAAAACATCTAGGAGACATAAGTATATGTATGTATATAGCAAATTTTACCCACAAAGATAAGCATGAATGGTCACAGAGAAAAATTTCCCATATACAAGATGTCAGTATATCAACCCCTTCAGATGACTCCAGCACCAAATCATATAGACCTAGGAATGGAAACAGGGGAAGATTTATCAGTTTTTTTAATCTGTCGTTTTATATACGATAATTTGATCATGTCTCATCGATTAACTCTACTTCAATAATTGTCGTCATCAACTGACCTGGAGCACCGGTATAATGCGCGTAAACATATGTAGCATTAGACTGATGGACCATGCTATAGCGACGCCAAGCTTGACACCATTGATGACACCATTGTCTCTCACAAACATACATGATGCATAGACAATCATTGTAAGTACATGTATGTATGAGACATAGTAGTGTCATCAATGGTGTCAAACCTGTTGTTAAAATAGCAATTTCCATGGACCGATGTGCATGGCATCCCTCTCATTACTTTCTTCCACCGACTACATGTCCCTGAGGATTGTTGGAGAATGAGGTTTGACTTGCTGGACTTTCTTCAAACTTGAAAGCTGAAAGAGAGGTCTCAAAAATTCATCTAGCATTGTTGTTTTTCCCTTTGCTGTATGGGCTTAGGTAACTGAAATCTTCGGTTCGTTCATTTTGCCAGATCTTTAACATCTGAGGAAGAGGCAAAGACAAATCAATGGCAGGACAATCGTTCGGATGCTCCACAGGTTTCCATGTCTCAACCTGTTGAGCTAAAACATTAACGGCATGCCCCATTTCGGGCCGATGGTTAGGATCACTTGATGTGCAATGTCCGGCCAACTCTGCGACTATACAAATACTATCATAGATCTGTTCTTTTGGTTCAAGAGTTGGATCAATGGCAGCCAGAAGAGTTTCTTTCTCTGCTTTCATTTTCCAAAACCAATCCAACAAATATCGCCTCTCTTCTGAACGACGTTCGTCGAGCGCTGTTAAGCCTGTCAAAAGTTCCATCAGAACCATCCCAAAGCTGAAGACGTCCACTTTCGTTGTAATTTTCCCGGTCACTGAGTAATAAAAGAAATATTTATTAGGGAAAATAAGTCATTGTGTCCGCATGGCAAAAACTTCAATGTTAAGCTTGAACGTTTTGAAAAGATTGCCTAATGGCATCGTTTAACTTCAGCATTTTCGAAGTTGATATGCACCATTAAAAAAATATTCAAAACGCTAATTGAAAACATCTTTCTATATACAATGGTAGGAGGATTTTAGGAACAGTGTTCCCGCCCATTTGATAAGCTACAGTAGCTGCTTAGATTTGGACCGCACATTGGATAAAAATATCTGGTGAAGCTTCCTGCATAGTGCATACTCATGTGAATTGTGATAAAGAGAAAGAGTATGGGAGAAGCTAAGCCGCTGGGCGCTGGGTATTTCTGTCAGATCCGGACTCCTGGAGAAAGAGGATCCTGCATACACATCTCAAGAGAGAGAGGGGGAGCGTATGGAGAAAGTTTTCCATCAGATCCACCTGTTCTTTCTTCTCTTTTCGCAGCCGCTTGCCCGCTTCATCGTCGACGATCGCCATCAAATTCCAATCAGCACATTGCCGTAGCGAGAGAGAGAAAGCATACCACCGTAGGTAAGTAGCCTAGCCGCTGATTGAATGTTTTTTTCTTTCTAATTTTGAAGTTCTGACAGTAATGGTTTTAACATTATCCCCTAATTCCAATTAGCAATTCTGTTTTCTTTCATCTTATCACTGCAGTTTTGCTCTTCAATTGGTTGGTTTTGCAGGAGGATTTTCAAGGCAAGGAAGATTGAGATATCACACTACGGATAGCCTCTACCATTGCGGCTCTTTCGGAATGTAGGTCTCTATTTCTCTATTTTTTTTCTCTTAACTTTTTATGATTCAATTCTTGATGTATATCTACAGGAAAAAAGATTAAAACATTAGCCTCAAAACTTCAAAATTTAGGGTAAATTTTAGAGATAATATCGCTGAATTTAAAGTATGGGCTATGTTGGAACTTGAGCACTCTGATTTTAGTTTCTTGAGATGTGTTCTTTTGTTATGTTAAATCCTAATTTCTATGAAATTTCTTGGAGTTAAAATTGGACATTTTTTGAACTGCAGTCCTCATTCTACAAATATTGGAGGATAACCCCAAAGTTTTCAAGGCTATATTTCTAGACGAAAGAAGTCAGACAACTTAATGAGGCACCTCAAAATCCCCATTCATTTGTGCTGCATATTATGATGTTTTATTGACTATAAGCTAGAGAACGCATAGGGAAAGCGACTCATCTCTGAATATTCTAAAATTTCAAATCCCAAAATTCAAACTACAAAGACTAAATTTTTATTGCGCTGTGTTGGGAATTTAAGAAATTCTTTCAATTTATGCTTATTTACTGTTATTGGCTTTACTCTATATTTTTGTGATTTGTAGGATACCATATTAACATAAATGTTTGAATATTGTACTGAACACTATCTTCTCTTTCAGGTTTGACTAATCTTTTCAAATTGTTTCATTTGGTGAATTCCTATTCCTACTTACATCCAAATGAATGGACTACTTCAACTAAAACTCATTTAGATCAATCGGTACGTACTCCATATATCATATCATGATGCAGATTCCTTTCTAAGAACATTGTGAAACTTGCTTACACAGTGGGCAGAATTTGATATATTATAAATTTTCTTCTTCGAATTGCTGTTTTAAAATTTGAGATGTGCATTTTCACATGATTTATTTGTATGGTTATAATGGGCATTGCTGATTAGTTTTCCAACTTTAGTTCATGTCATCAATTTTAAAAAAGTTTTTTCTAATTGCAATGGTTAATGTTTACTTTACCATATCTTCTTTTGTAGATGAACTTATTGTCTTTAACATCTCACACTGTCCTACGTAATGATGATATGAATATAAACTGCCAATTGAAGGTCCCAAAGGCATTCTGTCAAAAGACAGGTATGGAATGAGTATTTATTTTTGCTAACCATTTTGCATGTCATGATATTGGAGTTATTCTTCCAATTTTGCTAAATGCTAACCTTCCTCAGATGGAATCATGGAAGTACAATGCTTTGGCAATTATGACTTATCCTCTTGATATCTTTAATTTTTAAGACTCAAACTCTCAAAGGAATCAAATGTATTTCAGCCCATCCTCAAACGAAACATGTTTTTATGTAGGTCTAAGAATAGTTTTACGGGGCTTTGGAGTATTGAAGGAATATTGTTCTCTTGATCTCTCTACTTAGATTTCGTCTTGATTTGAATTGGTCTAATACTTTGCTTATTGAGATAGCATCTTGGTTATCCCTTTTGAATCTGTTTGAGTTTTTTGAGCGGGGAAGGCTAGGTATATATAGAAGCTGTTTCGTCCTATTTTTTATTCTTGATTGAGAGGTTTTGGTTGATGTTGGGGTGCATCTAGCATAAAGTATGGTCTCTAATTTGTTGGACATATACCCCTTAAATCTGAGTGTGTGCGGAGATTCATTTTCACTGCTTCTATAGGTCACTTATGGGACTTGGTCACAACATGTTTGGAGTTAGTTGAATTAAGGAAATAAAACAATGAAGATCAAGATTATACTTATAACAACGCTATGAAATAAGTGAGATAGCATACACCAAAATGCAATATATTGATGCTGACATTATGAGGTGGTGTTAGGAGTTACGATATTAAACCGGAACTAAAAGGGCATTCCAAGCAGAGGTACTAACATTAAAATACATGAAAAACATAGAGATTAAGCTTGGAAGAGGACATTAATAAGCTATAGCACCAAACATTCATTAAGAAGATTTTGATTTAGTTACTTCTATTTGGATGGTTTAATTTAGCTTGAAGTGATTTTTAGTCATTTGTTTATAAGTACTACACATTTTGTATTCTTTGAATGATTCTTTACTATTTGATTTGTATGTTAAATCATACTTTTTTATTTGATTTTCCTATCAAATATTGGCTTTGTTTTTATTTTTGAAAAACCTCATAGGTGATTTTCCAACATTCTTGGAAGCAAGAAAGGTGACTCCTCTTGCATAGGAATGCATGTAGGGGAGGAAACAAAAGCAGCTTCAAAGATGATGGGTATTCTCACTTATAGGCGTATGATGTTTGTATATTCAGTGTGATTCATTTTGTTGAAGAATTTGTAAAACCTAACCGTTTGCAATGTATATCAATTTTTTGTTACATAAAAGTTAAAACCTGAGTTTATTTTTAAATTCTCAAAATAACAATCGGTTTCATTCTTAATAAAACTTGAACTGTTATCCTTTTCATTTGTCATTTTCATGGCAAAATTAGGAAGACACAGTGGGCTGGTACTAAAAGTTCTAAGGATATTAAAGCTTGAGGGTGTTCTTGGTATTCGGCTCTGCTTTGAGGTTGCAATTTTAGACATTAGAGAGTTATTGAAATCAGTGAAGTGTTCATTTAAACATTTGAAAAGACAATTCATTTTTAAAGTATTAAATTTGTATTCGCCCTTCAAAAAAACGTAATTGTAATACATTATTTTTTTATAACAATTTTCATTTTATCTATGATAAATTTTCTTCCCGTGCATCGCACGGGTACGAGTCTAGTTTTTCCCAAACAAGGTGATCATCATCCCCACCACATTAATCGCAACTACATCACAGCAGGCAACATTATTTTAGTGTTGTCACTCTAATGCCTGTAATTAGGTAAGATGATACTCTCTTCGTCCCTAAAAGAAGTTCTCGTTCACTTTTTCATGAAGTTTTAGAAAAAATGGAAGTTTATGGTGGAATTTTATGCAAAGGAGAGGGAAAAAGGTGAACCACTCCTTTCCTTGGATGGAATGGGAACTTTTTTGGGACAAGCGAAAAGGGAAAGCAGGAGGTTCTTATTAGGGAAGGAGGGAGTGACTTATTAGAGCCAGCTTGGTACCCTAGCAAGCTATTTTTGGCATATGAACTTCATCAGCAAGTTTTTTGAACTTGAGAAATAAAATTCAAAGAATAAGTAACCACTGCACATACACAATAATCAAATTGCAAAGTGTAATTGTGAAAACAAGAAACACATCACAACAGAAAATTCACAGTTAAATAGGAGCTTTTTTTTCTGGAAAAAAACATGTCAATACTCGCAGAAATTTGAGGTTTTACAAGAATACTCCAAGATTAAATAATTATAACCAATGCGCCAAGAAACTCAACTTTTTTGCAAAAATTCCCCGATTTTTGAGGTGTTTCGGTGATCAATGTGTAATCTTGGAGTGTTCAAGTACACTATTTAAATTTTGGGAGTGCTAGTGATAATTGTGTAATCTTAGAGTATTCATTTAAAATCTCAAATTCTTGAAAGTATTGACATGATTTTTTCCTTTTCTTCCGGAGTAGAGAGTGATTTTTATTTTTAATACCTGCATATTCTGGAGCAAGGTACCCAAATGTTCCAGCAAGCCTAGTTGCAACAGACATATCTCTGTCAGGAGCGAGTTTCACCAATCCAAAATCAGAAACTTTGGCTCTGAAATCATTCCCAAGAAGAATATTGGATGATTTGAGGTCCCTGTGTATGAAGCTCTGGTGCGTGAGACTGTGAAGGTACTCCATCCCTCTAGCGACATCCAAAGCAATTATCAACCTTTTTGTCCATGACAACGGCTCCAAGTCGAGGCTTCTCCAATGGAAAAGATGCTTACTCAAAGCTCCCTGTCCCATGTACTCATACACCAAGAGTCTCTCATTTCCTTCCATAGAGTAACCCAAGAGTGACACGAGGTGGCGATGGCGTACTTTAGAAAGAACAGCAATCTCTGCCTGAAATTCATCCACCACTTTACCACTAACAATCCCTGCTTCCATTCTCTTCACTGCAACCTGAGTGCCATTGTCAAGCACCCCTTTGTAAACCACTCCAAATCCTCCGCGGCCAATCTCATTATGGGGGGAGAAATTGTTTGTCGCAGATCGGAGGATATGAAGTGGAACTAAAATATTCAGATTAGGGGTTCCATCCTCCGTTGGGGACTCATCACTGATCGTGATTCTAATGTCATCACTCCATCGATCTTTACTGGGATTGAACATAGTCGCACCATAAATCTTATTTGGCCTTCTCTTTTTCCAGAGGTAACAAAGGTAAATGACACATAGTAGGACAAGCACTGTAGAAGCTACACTGACTGCCACAGTGAAAACTATGACAGACTTTGTGTCCGAATCTGTGACGTTAACAGGGAGAGGAGGCGGGCTGTCCATCGACTGGGGGCTGTCTATCGACGGCGGCGAATGGTTGACAGTTAAGGAACCATTGATTAAGAAACTTGGATCTGGTAAAGGTGTGAATGGGCGATCAGGAGGAGACAATATGAGACTACTTGAAGGACTCAAAGCAAGATTGCCATCAGTGATTACCTTCACTCTATCATTGAATTGTGGGAACGGCAAGTCAAAATTGTTCCCGCTAATATCCAACAATCTCAAAGATCTCAATGAAGTCAACTCCGCTGGAACTTTCCCGTGCAAATGGTTTCCGGGCAAGCGAATCTCAACCAGTGAATTCAAGCTTGCAAGTGAAGGACTCAAGGTACCCTCAAGATCAAGCTTTTGGAGATTAATAATGGACACATTACCATTTGGATTACAAGTGATACCCCACCATTGCCCCTTGCAAGGATCGTTACCTGTCCATTCCGCGGCAAGGCGGGGCGGATAATTCATCTCATGAAGGAATTGTATCAAGGCATTAACTTCTGGAGCACAAGGTTCACCCGGTTCTTGTTGACAGAAAGAATTCGAAGAGTAAGTGACTTTGGAAGCTCTAAACTTTGGAATTGCACCCATTAGTAAATTCCCATGCAAACCTAACGCCTGAAGATTCAAATCAGCCAATCCTTTGGGAACCAGACCAACAAGTTGGTTCCCATTCAGGTTCAGATCCTTTAAAGAAGTCAAATTCCCGATGTTATCGGGGATTTCTCCACTAAATCTGTTCCCGTTAAGCCAAACAGATTTGAGCCTGACCATGGAGCCAATGACATCAATTGAACCCGTCATCCCGTCACCACCCTGATTATTCAACCACAAGACCTGAAGCATTGATTGGCGAAAACTGTTTGGAATGCTGCCGCTAAGTCTATTACCAGAAAGTTTCAATGCAACCAGAGAAGGGAGTTCTGCAAAATACCCCGGCAAAGTTCCTACTATATTGCAATTTGAACATGAAAAGTTGGCTAACTGAGTAGATCCTTGAAGGTCAAGAGGTATGGACCACCCGGTTGACTTATTCAATGGGTTGTCATCCATAGTCAAAACACGGATACTATTAAGGCCGTGGAAAAAACTTGAAGGAATGGTATCAAACTGGTTTCCATCCAAGTTCACAGACTGTAGATTCTCTAAGCCATTGAAAGTTGGGAGTTTGCCATAGAAATCATTCTTCTGAAGGCCAAGACTTTCCAGGTTGTCAAGCTGGTTAAAGTCCTGAGGTAAGGGACCACTTAACCCCAAGCCTTGAACATGAATCTGTGTGACTCTGCCTTTTGAGCAGACAATATGAGGCCATGTAGGAGGACCACAAGGGTCATTTCCTTTTGCAGGCCATTTTAGGAGCTCTGAGTTCTCTAACCCATTTTTGAATTCGATAAGAATCTTCAAATCATTTGCATTTGTCACACCATACACCATGTTTGAGATAGAAAAAAGAATTGCATAATATATCCATACATACACATACAAGATTCCTCTGTAATCAACATCCATTACCATCCATAAAAACTACCCAGATCTCTTTTGCATGAAGAATCCAAACCGATATGATAAAAGATTTTAGAATAAAAATTTTGATCAAGAAATCAAGATATGTGAAAAAGGGCAGAAACTTTGATTCAAGAATTGTGAAACAAGAATTTCTACCAACCTCAATTAGAAATGCTTCATGGAAATCTGGGTGTTTTAGGGGAAGCGGGGGGGAGAAAAAACTGGGTTCTAATATAGGGTTTTCAATCTAGTCTTTTTTGCATGTAGATCAAACCCTATAAAAGATGAATGTTCTAATTCAAGACCCCATTCTCCCCTCTCTCGCTCTCTCCCTCACCCTTGTCTTCTAATCCTTTTATTTCTCTCTTCTGTTTTCTTTTGCTGTTTTGCATTTTACTGTTTATTTCTTCATTTTATTTACACTCATAGTCTACTTTCTCCTCTTTTCTCTTTATTTTAATCTATTGTTTCCTTTTAAAATGTCCATAGAAGCCAAATGGCATTCGATCACTGGTGAATTTTTTGCTAAATATTAGTAATATAATGCTTTGTTTGGCACAAAGAAAATCTTCCCATCACCTTGTAAGATTACCTTAAAATTAGACAATGCATCAATTTATTTATAACAAATAAAGATTGTAGCTGTTTATAAATTATAAATGAATATAATAATATGTTGGATTAATTGGTTTATTCAGCACGCAAATAAAAAAAAGGGTAGAAACATTTTGGGTGGTGCTAAATCCACACCCTAAATGGCTATATCCACGCATTTCATCTAAATTTGCTAAATCCACACCCTGGTTCCCTACAGATGTGTTCGGGACAAGGGGAAAGAGGAAACAAGTTATTTCTTATCCTATAAAATTGTGATTTCCTATGACAATTTTTTAGAAGATATACTCTGTATAATATGATATATTTGTATAGATCCAGATATCTTCCTTTTTTAACAGAGATATCTTCCTTTAATTGTTTAGAAGATATACTCTGTATAATATGATAAATGTATATATATATATATGTGTGTGTGTGTGTGTGTGTAGATAGAGAGATAGAGAGAGACATACACACACAGAAACACCTAAGTTAAAAATTATACTCCCCCTCCCATAAATTTCTTCTCAGATTGCACCCTCCGCTCAGATTTTGAGATAGTGCATTTTCAAAGGATTTTGGTGCATTTCGACATGACGCATTTTCAAACCATTTTGGTGCACCAAATTTTGATGCAATCCTGACCCTTAGATCTCACAATCTAAAGCACCAGATTCATTCTTATTTCTTTCATAAGATCGCATTCTCACCAAAACCAAAATCTATATATATATATATATATATATATATATATTAACACCATGTTTCAAAATGAATTTATTGACATCAAATTTATAACTCAATGTATTTATTCACTAATTGTAGTCAACATTTAAAAATGTTGCCAAAGAAAAGTCAAACCAAAAGAAAATTTGAGGGAGTAATAATAAAGTTATAAAACCCTCTCTTTTATTTCTAATCAAAATCCAACTCCCAAACATAGCCTAAAAGTCTAAAATCGATGAACTTTTTGTTACATTGTGAACATAAATCATATATATATATATACACACACACACACATACACACACACACACACACATATATATAACATGCACCTGTTGTTACATACTTACATAATTCAGGAAGGAAAGTGCATCTTTCGTAAGCGCCTCATGACTAATCCTTCAAGAATGGGACTGCATCTTTCTGGTAGTTTTTTATTGCCTCGATAACTTTTGTGGGGAACGATTCATCTTCGGGGTAATGAGCAATAGGATCAAACAATAGAGGTTCAGGAACATTGAGAACGCCTTCGAGAGTGGCATGCAGGCAATAAGCTGAATAAGTGATGTGGTACCCGCCTTCTTGGACTATTAATAGTCTCCCATTGCTATATTTGTCTGCAAGGCCACGAACATTCCTTCCTATCTCCCTGTAACCCTCCATTGTCAAGCATTGCCTTCCATTTGGATCAAACTAAAACCAAAAGATAGCTGCAAGTCAGGAAGTTTTCACGCACATAGATGACAATGTTTGGTGCATCAGTTTACTCATAACCATGAGAATAGATTATGAAAAGCAAATTATGCTCCAAATTCAAAAAGATACTAATTGTTCACTCCATCCATCCCATATTTAATTTCCCACTCCCCTTTTATGGACGTCCAAAAATGAATTTAGGAACAGTATAAATGGGAAGAATTGTGTGGTCGGGGGGGGGCTTGGTATTATGAAAAATATGAAAATATATAATGGAATAAAGCTACCTGTGCTGAGGCTGATTTTGGGGTATTGATAAGAAGATAATATTATCCGTCCCACATAAAGAAAGTCATGTTCCAAATGAATATGAACTTTAAGAAATTTGCCAAATAAAAGGTCATACAATGGACAAACATAACACATTTATGAGATGAAGAGAGTAATAATATGCAGAAGGAACTTACTGCACTCGAGTCCAGGCCTACAACAAAAACTATCAAAGTAGGCTCAAACTTCTCGATCGCAGGGATGGCTAACTGCGTCATGGCACAACAATAACCCCTATCTCCCGTTCCATTAGGCAAGGGTATATTCAAATTATACCCAAACCCTTTGCCCTCACCAAGCTCATCCACGGTACCCTTCTGCGGATGAGATGGGCCCCACGATCCATGATCCATATGAAGAGAGATCGTAAGAACCTTATCAGAACAATAAAACCCTTCAGCAGTCCCATTCCCATAATGGACATCAATGTCAATAACTGCAACCTTTGTGTGGCCAGAATCTAGAGCTAGTTGCACTGCAAGGCCAGCATTGTTGAGGAAACAATAGCCATCGGCTTGAGATGGTTGGGCATGATGGCCGGGCGGCCTCACCAAAGAGTAGGCAATGTTCCCACCTCCATCAAGTATGTGTTTCATTGCAGACAATGTTGTACCAGCCGCAAGTAGGGCAGCTTCCCATGACCCTGGGTTTAAGAATGTTCCGGAACAAAGTTCTTTCCCGCCACTTCCATCTGCTTCAATCAGCTCATTCACATACTCTGGCCAGATTATCAAATGTGTTTTCCCATGTGAAAAATAGAGTTTGTTCCATTAGACCCTAGATGCATTGTTGCATTTACTGTCCAAAACTTTATACTACATACAAAGTAAGAAGAAAGAGAAGTTTACAAAAGCCAACTTAAACACAAACAAATAAAAATTGAACGGGAAGATAAGTCCAACACTTGACAGACCATATAGGCCAATGAATACCATTTTTAATAAGTCAATAACACATAATAGCCGGACTGCCGGAGTATGAGCACTTAACACATACTCCCTCCATCTGGATTTAATTGTACCCCTTCTAAAATACCTAAGACGTAAGAATAATGTTAAAATGACAAAATGAATCATTGCAAGTTTGTTGTACCTCATGGGTGCGTGGAGCAATTTATTGTAATATCACAACACCAAGAACAACAGCAACAACAACAAACTGAATAGAATTGCATACAAGGGAGGGTCTGGGGAGGGTGAGTGAACACAGCCTACACCCCTACTTGAAAGTAGAGATGTTGTTTCCGAGAGACCCCGACTCAAGTTCAAACGTACGAGCAAAACAAACCACAATAGCACTAACAAAAGTAGAGTAAAGAGAGAAAAGACACGTGATCACCCGAACAACTAGGTTCATATCACACAAGCACACACTATATGCTATGAAACCAAACCAACAAAAACTACATGCACACAGGTCTACCTAACTACTCTAATCTCTAATCCTAGTGGAGTAACTAAACAAATGGAATGATGTCCAACTAAATCCTAAAGATCGGAGGGAGGCATTAATTATACAAAAAAAATGAACTTAACACTTGTGCCCTAAGTGAAACATAGTGATTTCCGAATATGGAATAGAGTACTTAAAATCACAACCCTAATTTTTCAGCTGTAAAAGAGAAGGAAGAGAACCCTGGGTGTGGAAGGAGATCAATTCGGAGACGAGAGCAGATCTGCCATGGTGCCAAGCAACGAAGGCTGAAATTGGGCCTCGTTTGAGAATGGAGACCATGTTCCTCACCCTGTCGCCATTCTCGGGGTGATTCTCCAGCACGTCTAGGAACCCCGGGTCAATCCCGGAGTCAAACACGCCTCTGCCTGCGTCGTGGCGCAGCATCCCTTCGTGCCAGAACACATGGACGAGATCTCCCGGCGCCGCCGCAGCCGGTGGAGAAGGCGGAGCATTAGCTGAAGCCATGGGAACGTATCCAATGAGTGTCTGTCTCAGTTCGGCCGTTGACTTGTTGCTTCGTAGCGGTTGGAATGTTCTGACTAGCACCGTTTTTATTACTCTCTAGTCTCTCCTCATTTTAGTCTTTATTTATAATTAATTTATTTAAAAATTGAAATTTAATTAAAATACATTTTATATACGGAGTAAAATATTCAAAAAAATTATAAATTGAAAAAATATATCTTAAATTTCATGATAAAAATTGATACGAGCAAAGTTTGGAGAAACACGGCCCAAACACTATACTATAAAAGACGTAGAAGATAGTTGTGATAGGTTAGGTTAGATTTAGAAAAACAAGTACATTTATGTAGGGACGGCGGAGTATTTTCTTTCAACTTTAACCAAGGTTGAGACGTACATACTCGAGCGACCAAATGCAGATGAAACTTAATTTTACACCTCTTTAAGCAGATAAATGACTATAAAACCCATAGTTTCAACCATTCAACTCAAGACTAAGGTTGTTTATTACGTATTCCGTATTTTATTAAAATCAAATCAAATTAGAATCATTCATATATACCTATATAAATCATTAGAATCATTCAAATCAAAACAAGTCATAAAAATGTTGGAAAGTAAAATGTAAGTTATCATAACACCAAAGTTAAATGCTCAAATTATTCAAGCATGGCCATAATCATGCATTCTTTTGAAACTTAGACTATTTGACACTATCCATACCATGAAATATGACATCACAAATCTCTCATAAAATACATGAAATTAATAGATATTTGTATGATTAACGTTAAGTAAACCCAACATTTTAAAATTATTATGACTCTCTCCTATACACAAACACACATAAACAATAACTATTGATCTGAGACTAATATTTGTTGTTTCCAGGTGTCAGGTGTCAGTACAAAAAATGAAGTCAAGCTAACCCAAAATGTGCGGATCATCCTAGCACGACTCTATTTGCTATGACTAAAGCACTAGCTAATTAAAGACACAAAAATGTCAAACTCAATTTATGTCACAAATATAATAGTGCTAAAAATAAATTTCATAATTGGTTATTTATGATATCGGTGAAATGGACAATACAACAATAATAATTATGACATTGGACTAGGATTCCGGTGAAAGACTACATCTATAGACTACGTTATAGTAGAAAACGATTGGAATTTACAAATGACGCATTAGAAGCGACTTATGGAATTGTGTATGAGAATAATCATATATGATTAACGTGAAATTACATTATTTTTTGTCCTCAAATTAATACAACATGACAGAAGATAAACAAAACTAGCTATTTATATATATAGAAAGATACCCATAAAAAAAGACTGGCAAAGTAATACGTAGTACTATTTGATAATAAAAAACTAAATAAAAAGAGTTGGAAAACCCTTTGTTATAAATTAATAATTATGAAACTTATAATCTATGTTAAATAGAATTAGTCTTAATGCTTGTGATCTTTATAATACATGGTGCCATGGTCTGTACGAGCCATCTCGTCAGGGCGTCTGACCCGTCCGACCATCGGACGGCTCAGACGCAATAATAACATCGATAGAGTTGGAAACCTTTAATGTCTTCTCTTCTAAAGAAATAATCACTTCGCCGCCGCCGCTGCCGCCGTCGACGACCTTAAACTGTGCCAGCAAAGCCAGCTCGGTCACGGCCTCGCCGATGGTTTCCACGCAGGCGACAATCTCGGCGAGGATGGTGGCCACGGTGGCGGCAGGAATCACCTGAAGCAGGTCGACGACGCCACCGCCGCCGTCTTCGGAGAAGGAACAAGCTGGGGAGTAGTTGATGAGGAGGAGTTTGAGGCTTTTGGCGGCGGTGGTGGCGGTGGCGAGGTGTTTGGTGGCGGCGGCGGAGGGGTGGCTCATGTTCCTCATGGATGATGCCAGTTCTTGGAGTGCCTTCCCGGACTCCATGCTCATTTTGGTGCATGCTCCCCTAATTATTCTTATTATCTCTTTTGGCATCTGTATTGTTCAAAAATTACAAAAAAAATATATAGTTAAATAAATTACGAACATTATTCTCCAATAAAAAAAATCATACTCCGTGTTAGTACTCAATCTACTCATGCAATAAAATTCTATAGGTTCTTTCTTTACACATTTTTATTAATCATTAAATTAAATTTAAAATAGATATAATAATCTTTTGTTTTATAAAATTTTCACTCGGTATATTTTATGAAAAATACTAGAAAAATTTGCTCGATTTTCCTTTTATATATTTCTCGCTTATTTTTTATAGTAATGAATATTTTAGTTAAAAAAATATTGACTTACAACCACGCGTTTAAATTTTGGATTTAGCCGGATTGTGTTTGTTACTTGACATAGTATTAAAGCTTTGTCGACTTTACTCATTCAACCATTGATTTTAGCAGTCAACTTTTTTAAATATTGTTGGAGTTCCCACATCGGAAAATAAAGATGAGTATAACTTGCATATATTGAAGGGTGAAGCCCTACCTATCAGCTTAAACTTTTGGGTTAGAATTGTGGATCCCGACTTTATATGCAAGTGGTTAATTTTACCCGACACTCTATCCGTTGTTATCGGCCCGCCAGAATTTTAACATGGTATCAGAGCTAGGTTCGGTCCGGGTTTGATTGTTCCTGGTTGTTTGGGCTGAGTTGGCTAAAAAGAGATTGAGATGCCACCGCCAGTTGTGTCGGCTAGCTATAAGAGATTGAGATGCTAGGCTCGTTTGTCCAAGTGCTAACTAGGCCAGGCTAGTTACCACTTGCGGGGGAGTGTTGGAGTTCCCACATCGGAAAATAAAGATGAGTATCACTTGCATATATTGAAGGGTGAAGCCCTACCTATCAGCTTAAGCTTTTGGGTTAGAATTGTGGATCCCGACTTTATATGCAAATGGTTAATTTTACCCGACACTCTATCCGTTGTTATCGGCCCGCCGGAATTTTAACATCGTTTGTCAAGGTGTCCGTCTAGACGTTCATTCCTAGCGGCTCGTTAGTCTTTAGCACAGTTGTCCGTATGGATGTTGTACCCAACGGCCTGTGGCCTGTTTAACACGATTGCTCGTCTGGAAGTCCATACCCAGCGGCTCGTGGTCCTTTAGGTATTGGCGCTCAAAAAAAAGTCAAGGGAATGGGAGTTCATTTGCAAGTGGTCAACCGGTTAGATTCAAAATGGCCCGGTTGTCCACTTGAGGGGGAGTGTTAGAGTGCATCCCACATCGGAAGTTCAAGAGTAAAATAACCGGTATATAACCTCTTGAGTTGGACTAACTAATCGATTGGATTCAATCTTTTAATGTGGTTCAGCCCAAGTGTCTTATAGCCCAATCCAGTTGTCTATACCTATCCTAAATTCTATCAAATATTGACTACCAATTACGAAAAAATACATTAATAATTGTGATAAAAGTTTAATATCAACGGGGTTATTTTGAAACATTTTGTTTGAAATGTTATATTTTTACAATACATATCTATCTACAAATAGAAATATTAATTATCAAAATATTGTATTGAAAATCGTAAAAAATCAAATGAGAAAATCCAGAATGAAAAGTAGTAGTAGTAGTATATACGGAGTAGTTATATATACTTGAAGTTGAGAGGAGAGGTAGCCATTGAGGGCTTCAACCCTAGAGGCACACTGCCTGGTCAATGTCCCAATTTTCAGGTATTGTTTCCATGGATGCTGGAACTTGAACCGCCCATGTCCTGGCTCCCATCTTGCAAAATTTGCCTTCATAAATAAATCTAATTATTAATAAAGGAATTTACTTAAATAAAAAATATAATTTTTTTTAATTAAATAGCATCATATGTGTTTTTTCCAATGTAGCACTTTTAGCCATTATTCAAGTAAATATTCACCATCACTGGATATTATTCCCTCTTCTGGACATTAGGAATAAAGAGTTTAAGTGCTATTTAAGGAAATGACTTAAGTTTTAATGTTATTTAGTGCAAATATTTCTATTAATAATCAAGCTAAGATTAGATTTTCATAAATATATGTGTCGTTGCTGTTGTTTTATTTTAATTTTGAAATTACATTATGTAGCTAGCTAGAGAATGATTGCTTAAATTTATGTTCTGTTTATAATACTTAGATGACTGAATTTAATTTTAATTTATTTGATTTTCCACTGGTACAACAATTTAATTATTTATATACAGAGTGTGTATATTTATACTCCGTATAATACTAAAAAATTAAAAATAGAAGAGAGGGAGTTCCATTTAATAAATAGAAGAAAATCTTGTTCCAATATTTTCCAAATTTTGGAACTGAAAATTTTAAAAATAGAACAGGAGAAAATTTTATGAGTTTGGATCACTAGCTACTGACCAGAGTTTCTTCAATGGTTTTAGAATTGAGAACAGTAGTGTAGCCAGCTCCAGCTAGCAATGATTTAGCCTCACTGCTGCCGTCTTCTTCATCTTTGAAATACTCAGCTCCAAATCCTATAAATTAAATTTCATATTTTTAATTTGATTCTTGAATATATGCATGCACTAGCCCTGCTTGAAATTTCTTACGACACAACTGAAAAATAAAAATACTCCGAGGCATCCAAAAACTGAAAAAAAAAAAAAAAACTCCAAATCCTATAAATTAAATTTCATATTTTTAATTTGGAGACCGAGGAATATTCCTAAAGAGAAATTACTTATATAGTACTAAAAATACTACTAATATAGTGAGTTTTTAATGTAGTACTATATATTTTAATTTTTCTTGTATAGTTAGTATTATCACTGTTTAATGTCCATTGTTCGATGTTTACAGGACATTTTAATTTTCTCAAAGTTTTATTCTTACCCTTCTAGTCCGTATTTGGCTATCCTAAAACTTTCTTCAAATTTCCATTGAAATTAAAAAAAAAGATCATGAGGTTGATATTATTTTTTTTCCGCTACATGAACTATGCAAAATGAAACAAATTTTATCACTCCCTTTGTCTCTAAAACCGCAGTGTGACTTTTTTAGTTGAATTGTGACACTCTTTGACCACGAATTATGAAAATGTATATTTAGTTGTACTGTTAATTTAGTAAAAGATAGTATTAAAATATCAAATTTTTTAATATTTAATTATATATTTTAAACTATATTTAATTTATGGTCAAAGAGTGCCACAGTTTGACAAAAAAAATCAAACTATAACAATCTTTTAGAGACGGGGAAGTTACATTATAACAATCATATCAATCTCATGCAAAAAAAAAATTAAATTATGCTCTATAATTATATACTCCATAGATAGAATGGATGGAAGAGAGTACCTTTTAAGAAAAAACCAAGAATCTCCAAGTTGTCAGCAACAAGATTGTGAAGATCCTCCCCAGCCCAGACAGGGAAAACACAAATGGAGACGATGAAACAGATCGAAGCTCCAATGGCTATAGCGGAAAACCGCTTGTGAGCCAAGTCGATGATTTCCTCGTTCCGAAAACCAGAAATGGAGATGAGGCAAAATGTGAGGATGAAGATGACCAGTCCATAGTCATATCTTGCCTTCACTGTTGGGAAAAACCTTACAAATGTCGATGTCACCGCTGCAACATCGTACGACATGCATGCATACATACCACCGCCCTCAGAGACATCGTTTTCAATTAGTATTAGCGTTTTGAATAAATAGATTTTTATTCGTACGATTAATTTTGAAAATGTTGAAGGTGTACATTGTCATAGTGACACCTTGTAATTGTAAAAAAACCTAAAAGTATTAGCTCAAGTAGTACATAGTTTTTTCAAGCTTAAATTTTTAAATAAAAAGTTTGTTCTATATATAAGACTAAAAAATACGGAGTAGCATGTTTCCTTGAATAGAACTAATTATGATTTATTTTCTTCATGACACATATTTTCATATGATCAGCCATATATGCCTTCATTAGCAATAAGTGTTGGATAATGACTGATTATCCGAATGAGTCTACGAATGTGGTCATTAGTAACAAATGTTGGAAGTGACTAATTATCTCGATGACTATTCAAATTGTTTCTTTATTAACAGAGCATATATCCATTTGTAGTCATTCTAGATGCTTATTATTTTTCCGTCTTTTAACGAAGCACTCGCATTTACAAAGCTTTATTAGAATTTTTCATTGCCAACCGTTCGTTAGAGTTAATATGACCGGTCCTACTTAGAAAAAAGTGATATGTTTAAATTCTATTTGTGTGAATTACCCAAATTGGTCTTGATAAGTTTGTTCATTATTTAATTTTTTTCATTCTATATTTTTCTTCTCGGTCTGATCTTTACCCAAATATATATCTTTCTTTAACAACTAGTTTATACTTTATCCTCAATACACATTGGCCTTTTAACAACTCTCATTTATTATACCACCAAGAACAAGAACAAATTTACCTCAGAAACTCAAAAAAAAAATCATTAAAAACGTGTCAAATCAAAATGGAATATAAGAATATGCACATATAAATTTTGTATTATTGGAATAATGGAAAGAATATCGTTGTTCATAAGTATTAGTTTTAATTCATATACGCAGGGGCAAATATGGAAGATGCTCTCTTTAAATCATGTAATACATGGCCAGGGGGGCTGAGAATAAATTAAAAGGTAGAATTTGATTCTTCATCAAGCATTTAGCTATAGGTTAATTTCCATTGGATCAATATAATCATTGTAAGAACATGACTATAGCTAAGTTTTGATCCCCAAAAAAACACAATGCAAGAGCTCATTATCTAATGATTTTATGTTTAAATTAATTACTCCCTCCGTTCTAAAAAACATTTCCTCTTTAATTTTTTCACTTCTAACAAAAAACTTTCACTTTCTATTAAAAAATCACTTCTGCCCTTACTTTTTTATACCTTACCTATCACATCATACTTTTTTTCTTTAATAATCTATTTATCACATCTTACTTTCACTCATTGGAAGTCAACTACAATTTAACACTTCCTTATTTTTACACTTGATCAAAATAGGAACTCTTTTTGAGAATAGAAAGAGTATAATTTAGTGCTCCCTCGCTCCTTCCCATATTGTTTCGTTCGAATTGTTTTTTGACGATCTTCAATGTAATACTTTGATCAATTCCAATAAAAGTATATATATATATATATGTATGTGTGTATATATATATATATATATATATACACACACACACATACACACTATACCTTGGAGAAAGACAAATAAGCCAAGCAGAAGTGGCTCACAAATTTTCCCACTTTGATTGGCCAAATAGTGTGCTCCAATTCCTAGTCCACATGCTACCAACGTTGCCAGCCCCCTATTCACTCCCTTTCCCAAGGTCGCACCTATACATTTTCACCCAAATTTTATAAATAGTCCTTAAATAAAAACTTTTTAATTAATAACACTAACCCTTAGGGTACGCAATATAATCGAAATTAAAAAAATGAAGGTACGAAAACATCGTTAGTAATGACATGTCGCAATACATACGTAAATGGTTAATTACCAACAGAGAATTCGAAAACGACAACGACAGTGACGACGGCCCACATTGTGGAGACCCCAAAGCTCTTGTAGAACGGGTGGAGGTAATATAGCAATGAAACCAAAGTTAGCGAGAGACCGACTTTGAATGAGTGTATCACTCTTCTTGGGTCATCTTTTGCCAGGGCTCTGGTTTGCCTGGCAAACTCAACCGCCTTCCCGAAAAGGTCTTTCGGGAAGGCCTTGAGCTTCCGCCGCCAGCGTCCGAAGATGCCGGTGGCGGCTGAGGGGTTCTCGCCACCGTGCATGGAAGACTCCATTTGCATGAGTGAGATTGAAGATGGGTATATATGTGGTGGAAGTTGTTAAAATTATGTGTGTGTATTTATATGTGGGTGGGTGAGTGGGACTTATCTTTATAGGGGAGTGAAAAATTTACGTGCATGGTTGTGATCACATTTTGATGATATATATAAAGATTTTTTGGTAGAATATAATGTACGAAGAAAAAAGTTTTCTTAATTAAAATTAAAAATTATAGAGTTAGAACTTATATAGATTAGAGATAAGAAATATTTGCACTAAATAGCACTAAAACTTAAGTCATTTTCCTAAATAACACTTAAATTGTTTTATTTCCCAAATAGCACTTAATAATGTCCATAATGTCTTGTGATGACGAATATTTACTTGAATAATGACTAAAAGTGCTACATTGGGAAGAAAAACACATGTGGTGCTATTTAGAGAAGTCATTATGTTTTAGTGTTATTTAAGTAAATTTCTCTTAGAGATAAATCTTGTGGCAATGTATTAAATACTAAAAAAATATAAAATAAAGTAAAGAAAAAAATGTTATTTTCTGTCCAAAAAAGAAAAGTGGGTTAAGTTTTTTGCTAGGTAATTATGTACTCAATCACTCATAGAAAATCTTTCTTGTTTTGATCAATTTGTTTTGTGAAATTGTGACATGCTTTGATCAAAAATTAAATTTATTTTAAATATATAAAATTTGTAAAAAAATTGATAAATCAAAACTATATCCTAACGTGAACCTAGTTATATTGAATTTATATAATGCTTAGATATCCTTTTTTTATAATATTGGTCAAATAGTATCATTGTTTGACCAAAATAGTCAAAATAGAAAAAGATTTTTCGGGACAAAAATAGTGATTTTAATTATTTTTTGAATATATATCAGCTCGGTTATTTATTTATTACACGTCTAGTTATAGGATTATATTTGTTTTTGTTCGAATTGAACTTCGCATTTACTAGTACTACTTTGGGAAACTCATACTCCATCCGTCTCTGAAAACCTTTCACCTTTCTTTTTTTATTCGTTCCAAAAAATACTTCTCATTTCTATTAAAAAGTCACTTTTACCCCTTACTTTTTCATACCCTACCTATCACATCATACCTTTTTACTAATAATCTATTCATCAAATCATACTTTTACCCATTAAATCAAAGGACATTTTTTGAAATTCAAAACCAAAATACACTCTCTTTAAATCCATCTTCAAAATCAAAACTCTCATGTTTTCCGAGACGGAGGGAGTATCATTTTACTTCCTTATAAATAATTTGAATAAACCTGGGAGTACACTAAAATGGAGTACCCCATATGTATACCAGACAAACACATACATTTAGTGTCTGTGTTTGCCTGATTTTATATAAGATACCCCATTTTGGTGTACCCCTAGTATACTCCAAAGAATTTTTCCATTTTGAAAGTCACCAAATTTTACATAGATATCATGTCAAGAATTGAAGTCATCTCAATTAAAATACTCAAATTTGTAATTGAAGAACCTGAAAAAAATTTAATACCCTAGGACAAGGGGAATATAATAAAACTTGTGACAAAACCCATGCATGTATGGTATGTATGCATGCTATACATACATCATACATATATGCATATATACATTCACCTGGCATGGCCCTATATGCATATCATGAATAATATCATCAATGGTGGAGGGGCATTCTGCAGGCATATACTCCATGCATCATCTTTAATTTCTTTTTCCCAGTACAGAAAGAACGAAAAGAACACAAATAAAAAAAAAGTGGAATATAATGTCCACCCCGGACACCCCCACACCCAACCCGAGAAAATATTTTGGAGGTAAATTATGTTATAATCATTGTATAGTCATTAAACTCTTAGTATCCGTTTGGTATACGAAATTGATGGAATTGGAATTGAATTGGAATTGAAATTCCATGGGATTCAATTCCCTAGAATTGAATTCATCAATTACAATTCATTTTTTGCATTATCAATTCCAAATCCACATAATTTTTGTGCTACCAAGCACCAAAATTGGAATTGAAGTCTTCAATTTCAATTCCATAGTTTGAATTCCATGTACCAAACGGGGCCTTAGAGAATTCATCTCGTGGTCGGTAGGCACACAAAGTTGTCACATTATTGTTACGTTACTGTCGTGACAATTATCCCATGACAACGTACCCCATGCGGTATATATGTGCATGACAAATGTACATGGAATTCAAACTATAGAATTGGAATCGAGGATTTTAATTCCAATTTTGGTGTTTGGTAGCTCAAAAATTATGTGGATTTATAATTCATAGTGTAAAAAATGAATTGGAATCAGTGAATTCAATTCTATGGAGGAATTGAATCTCATGGAATTTCAATTCCAATTCAATTCCAATCCATCAATTCCATATACCAAACGGACCCTATAGGAGCAGGAAGGGATAGCTAGCTTGTTCTCTTCGCCAGATCTAATTAAATATGTTCTCATTTTATTAAGGTCTGATAAGGTCTTGTTCTAGTTATACGTAAAAAATGATCTAGCCTGGTTTTGATTTGATCTAAACCAAATAAGTGTCTCTGTTTACATTTATTTTTTGTCAAATTGTAAAAATTATAATGATCACTTAAAAAGAAAATGATAACATCGGTTAGAGTAATCGGATCAAGCTATATATTTGTACACCAAAATTTCCACCGCATTTCGTACTCCAAAGTCATGCACCGATATTTTGTGCTAGTGTGATGCTAGTGTGATCGTTTACATTAACAAAAAATGTCAGTGCAATTTTTTTAAGTAAATTAATGTTAAACTTTGGAAAATACTTTCTTGGTTGATAAATTATCACAACAAGGTATATATACAAGGTGTACAGCTACGGGCCCAACGAGCCAACTAATTACAAAATTAACAAATAATACACAGGAATACCCAATACTCCCCCTCAAGTTGGCGCATGAATATCAAGAATGCCCAACTTGGAGAGTAAAAAACTGAAAAGAGGACTAGAGAGCGCCTTGGTGAAAATATCCGCGATCTGCAACCTGGTTGGAACATAAGCTGTGGACACATGGTTGCGCTGAACGCACTCACGAACAATATTACAGTCGACATCAATATGCTTAGAGCGTTCATGAAACACTGGATTCACCGCAATATACAACGCAGATTTATTATCACAATACAACCGCGGAGTAGCAACACATGGGACAAACAAAGCCGCAAGAAGGCCCCGGAGCCAACGAATCTCCGTACATGCACTAGCCATGGCCCTGTACTCTGCCTTGGCCGAAGAACGAGATACGGTGTCCTGCTTTTTAGACCTCCACGAAACCGAAGAACCTCCCAAAAGTATAAAATAACCAGTGACAGAACGACGAGTAATAGGACAACTCGCCCAATCTGAATCTGAGTAGGCCGTAAGAGATAAGTCATTGTCAGTACGCAAGAAGATACCCTGACCCGGATGTCCCTTCAGATAACGTACCACACGCATAGCCGCCTGTAAGTGGTCAAGGCGTGGTGCGTGCATGAACTGAGATAAAACATGAACAGAGAAACAAATGTCAGGACGAGTGATAGTCAAGTACAGCAAGCGGCCAACTAAACGCTGATACTTGGCTGGATCGCGAATCTCGGGACTCGAAGAGGTTGCAAGTGAGTGCCCAGGGGTAATATGAGTGGAGACAGGCTTGCACCCAGAAAGACCCGCCTCCTGAATAATATCCAATGCATACTTCCGCTGATTCAAAACCATGCCTTCCGGGGATCTAGCACACTCAATCCCCAGAAAATAAGATACCGGGCCCAGATCTTTCAAACAGAAATAGTCGTTCAAATATCGCTTGAACGATGAACACACGGACGGGTTATTACCTGCAAGGAGAATATCATCCACATAAACTAGAACAACCAAAATGTCAGGACCACTGGTTCGAACAAACAATGTGTGATCAGCATGTGCCTGATGAAACCCAACTGAACGTAAAGCACTACGCAGCTTAGCAAACCAGTTACGCGGAGACTGAAGGAGCCCGTACAAAGACTTTCGGAGTCGACAAACTTTACCAGGATATGCCCCTGTATAACCCGGCGGCAACTTCATGTACACCTCTTCCTTGAGATCCCCATGTAAAAAGGCGTTGTTGACATCTAACTGATGAACTTCCCACGAACGAGCAACTGCAACAGAGAAAAGAACACGCACCGTGGTTAATTTAGCCACTGGTGCAAACGTGTCAGTATAATCCGTCCCAAACTCCCGATGATTCCCCAACACAACTAATCGGGCTTTGTCACGTTCTTTAGTACCATCAGAACGAAACTTTGTGCGATACACCCACTGGAAACCCAAAGCACGACGAAACGGTGGAAGATCAGTGATGTCCAAGGTATGGTTCCTCTCTAAAGCTAACAATTCCTTCGCCGTCGCTTCCTGCCACGAGGCATGTTGAACAGCTTCACGATAACTTTTAGGCTCCACAGTTGCCGTCACAACTCCCAGAAAACCTCTATACCTGTCATGTAACTTATCATAATGAACAAAATTAGTAATAGGGAACCGAGTACCTGAAATAGAAGACGGAACAGGAGAACCCGTAGCCGGAGAACATGTCGTGACAGTGTGACAGACATAATCAGACAAATGATGTGGTGGGTGACGAACACGAGACGACTGACGGATTGGAGGGGCTGTTTCAGGTGGAGAGGTGTCGGGGGGGTGGGTGCACCGTCGGCAGTAGGTGCGGAGACAGAAAGACGGGGTTCAGNGGGGAGGGAGACATGGTGTTGGACGGTGTAGCAAACGGAAACACAGTTTCGTCAAAGGAAATATCACGAGTGTGAAAGAAATTATGTGTTTCCAAATTATAGACCCGCCATCCCTTTGTACCAAACGGATACCCAACAAACATACACCGAATACTCCGGGGAGCAAATTTATTCGGAAGTTTTTGACGACATAACAAAGACACCCAAACACCCGAAGATGACTAAGATAACAAGGTTTAGACGAAAGAATTTCAAGAGGGGACTTACCACCCAAGAGGGGCGTGGGAAGACGATTAATAAGATAGACTGATGTTTTGACACTCTCTCCCCAGAACTCAAGAGGTAGAGACGCTTGGAACATGAGGGCACGCGCCACGTTGAGGATGTGACGGTGTTTCCTTTCAACTCGGCCATTCTGCTGGGGGTACCTACACAACAAGTCTGTATCTGGACACCCATATGATCATAATATTCAAGAAGTGGTTTATTGAGGAACTCAGTACCATTATCTGAACGAACAATTTTTACGGTTTTCCCGTACTGGGTAGCAATCATAGCAAAGAAACGCTTCAAACAAGAGGTAACCTCACTTTTAACTTTAATAAGATAAACCCATACAGCTCGAGAATGATCATCAACGATAGTTAAAAAATAATGAGCGCCTGTAGCTAAACAAGCAGAATAAGGTCCCCAGAGATCACAATGAATTAAATCAAACACAGAATTGGCTTTATTAAAACTTGTAGGAAACGGAGAACGATTCTGTTTGGACATAAAACAAATACGAGCCCGAGCAAGAGCAAGAGCAGCGACTGGACACACACAACCTCCAGTTGGGTCTTCACCTCCATTGAGTTGATTCCAGAGAGTGATGAACTGGTTGTAATAAGCGACCACACTTTGGCCTTTTTGACGTAAACCATGCAACTCGCACTTCAATTGATACAACCGAGGACCATTAGACCCACCATAGCGTTTTTAAGATCATCCCACAAGTCATAAGCTATTGTATGATTAATGTCTAATGATGCTCCGTTGTATAGACTCATCCACGCTACAAATCCAACTACAAATAATGGAGTGATTGGACTCCCACGCGACGAGTTCAGCTTCATCTTTGGGTTTAGGCACTCCCGTAGATGTCAAAAATTGGGCTTTACCACGGCCACTAAGAGCATGGCGGATTGCTTTCTCCCAAACATCATAGTTATCGCTACGAAGCACATATTTTGTTAATGAATTACCCGGACCTTCAGACGGATGCAAGTAGTAAATTGTAGACGAATCATGTATCAAATTTGCCTTCTTGGACGACATGAAGAACGAACTGGACGGTTCACCACGGCAGCGACAGAACTGGACTGACGAACGGCGACCAGACTTGGACGCACTGAGACGGACAACCTTGACGGATGGACAGCGTCGTCGACAAAAAACCCTAAGAGCGTTGCGAAAACGAAGCCCTAAGAACTTGCTTCGATACCATGTTAAACTTTGGAAAATACTTTCTTGGTTGATAAATTATCACAACAAGGTATATATACAAGGTGTACAGTTACGGGCCCAACGGGCCAACTAATTACAAAATTAACAAATAATACACAGGAATACCCAATAATTAACATTTTGTATCAGTGTGAACTGTTAAAATGTCAGTGCATTTCTTTGAGATAAACTTTTTTTGGTGTACCCTAAGATGGTTGAAAGTAAGCAGTAATAAAATCACACCACATAAATGAATTTGACAAGACATTAATGAATTTGAATATGTTCTATCTCCTACAAAATATACCAAATGCACTTTTGTGGTAGTCATTGTTTCTTCTTATACTATATGTCTATGAATATTTAGGACACATGCATGGAATTGACACTGTTTTTTTTTTATGTTTTGGAAATAAGGATTGATTCTTTTTCTTTAAATTCCTTCCACTTACGTAGTACACGTGCAGTAACAGCTTTAATTTGATGATGAATTGGGAGGGTGCCTTTAATTTGCAAACGTTAGTCTGCTAGCTGAGCTAGCTAGCTAATAAGCTTGAACCCATATTCATAGAATATTTTCAAGGAAACATTGAGCATATATAGAATGTTATGCATGTTTGGGCGTTACTACATGGGGTATATAGTACTTCTAGCTAGCTATATACATGATGCCCATCTATTGGATGCCGGCCTGCCCGGCCATGTGTCTCACTTTCATATTACTCCCTCAGTCCCGGAGTATTTGTCCACTTTCATTTTTACACACCATCCAATGCACTTCTTTAATCCATTTTATCTTGTAATTTGTATATTAAAAAATTATTGAAATTATATATTAATAATCTATATGTTAATACAAATCAAACAAGATCACACATGACTATATTTAGGCTTACACATTGAGAGAATTTGATGAGTCAAAGTGCTTAGATGAACAGTTCCAAAAGTCAAAAGTGGACAAAAATTGGGGGACGGAGGGAGTACTTATTTTTTTAAATTTTCTTGCCTATTTTTGTGGACAAAGAGGGAGTGGAGGACATTTGGGGTATACCTTTGGTGTACCCCTAGCATTTTCGTAATAATTTATGACGTCCTAATGAATACACATTACAACAGAATACTCACAAACTTCACAAATTTATTGTTTATGATTTAAATTTTCATTTTAAAATTACTCTAGACCATTTAATTTTTTTTATTGAAGTTCACAAATAGTAAGTTTGTGAAGTTTGTGACAATTGTGTTTGTGAACCAAACATTTCTCTTTTGCAAACGGAGCAGCGTAGGTGCCCCAATTTGTTCAATGACTTCCGAAGCTACTGAAAACCAGTGGCTATAGAATCCCACCGCAAAAATTATACACCACTTTGTACAAGATATGCACCAATATTTTATGTTAGTATAATGCTAGTGCAATGGTTTACAATGTCACAAAATACCAGTGTAATTTTTTTATTACACTAATATTTTATGTCAGTGTGAATCGTGAAAATGTAGGTGCATCTCTTAGGGTACATTTCTCGATGCACCCCTAACAATAAAATTTTTTCATAACTTTAATCTTACTAAAAAATTCAATTAATTTTAATTACTGTTCTCAACCCAACGTAGCCCATCGGCCTTCCACCATCAAACCAAATACGGAGTAGCAGACGTGAGAGAGCGAGACGCCGGCGACCTCCATCTTCAGAGCCTCTTGCTCGCCTAACGCCGCTTCTCCGACCTCTGCTCGCCGCCTCGCCGGACATCGCTATTCAACTCCAACCTCTGCTGACCGCTAAACTCCACTGCCCGGTACTACAATTGCATTAATTTGTGAAATTTTGTGTTGTATGAAATTATGAAATCTCAAATTCCAACCTGACCCGACCCAACTAATATGAAACTGCGGAGCACATCTATATGAAACTCTCACATTCCAATCGGACCCGACCCGACTAAAACCCTGCGAAGTGCAAACCCCAGACTTCTTCGCGCGCCCACATTTTCAAAACAATTCTCTACTTTGGCTCCTCCAATCTCCAGTTTAGGGTTTTGTTACTTTAATTTTGTTAACAAAGCGAATGAATTTCCAGTATTTTTTCGAAAAACGGAATGAGTACCCTTTATAATTCAAAAATGGATCATCTTTTGAGTGCCAGTAATATCATACTTTGATGCTGGATTCACATGCTGTATTTAACTAAATTGGTTCAGGTTCAGCTATGGCGACGCATGGTCATGGAGGAAGTGGCAGGTCTACGGTCCGACAAGAGAAGCTTGACAAGGAGTGTGAGATCAGGATTGAAGTCACCGCGGACACACCTCTCCGGCTACGCGTCCTTACCGGCACTGCTGAAATATTTGGCACCGAACTTCCGCCTGAAATTTGGATCACCTTTCCTCCTCGTCTCAAATTCGCCGTATGCCTTCTCGTCCTCCGTCCCATATATTAATCCCTTCGTCCCCAAATTAAATTCATAATTTGAGAAAAATGATGAAAAGAAAACAAATGTGAGGTAAAAAGATATTTGATAGAGAGTGAAATGTTGTGATTCAGAAATTCTCTTTTGATAAAAGGAAAGAGGAGAAATGCGAACTTAATTTTGGGACTAATGAAGGAGGAGAGTGTGATTTAATTTGGGGATGGAGGGAGCATGTGATTCAACTCAAGTTTAGGCTACATACTTGGCTCCTACCAATTGAAGTAAGTTTAACTCTGTTTTTGGAAGTGAAGCTTTGGAAGTGAAGCTCTAATCGGAAAGTGGCCGTGTGTATATACTTGTGCAGGATGAATGTCCATGAATACTGAATTGCAGGTTGAATTGCGAATTTTGTTTTGGTTAGATACTTAGACAGGATATAGGATGCCAAGATTATTACATGGTGATTTGGAACTATGATTAGGGCTGATGCAGTGGTGGATTGAGTGATAGTCCATTCATGATGCTATACATTGTTCAATGGAAAGAATGAGTGTCGTGTTCAGTTTAAAAGAAGATGAAAGAATCCTGTTGATAATGCTGTGGGGTTTCTGTCAAAATGCCTTGCAGTTACATAATAAGTCAATCTTAGTGCTTGGCATGTGTTCTACATGCTAATGCACTATGATGTATTGTAAGTTTATGTATAATCTTCTTAACAAATTTAAATTTTAAACCAGGTGTTTACTTGGTATGGAGCTACAATTGAAATGGATGGACCAACTGAAAATGAGTATACAGCTGATGAGGTATATATTCGTTCATATCCTTGTACCCATTGTGTTTATGGAGTAATAAACTTGATTAGAGTAGATAATGTAATTCAAATGATATTACTTTTTAAAATGATGTTAGACACCCATGATCAGCTATGTCAATGTGCATGCCGTACTTGATGCGCGGAGGGAACGTGCGAAAGCTTCACCAAGTGATTCTGATACTTACCAGGTATTGTGTGAATCATGTATTAACATATTTAATACGCAGAGAAAGTGGCAAAATTATTTTGTATGTTTTACTTGTCTGATATTAGTTCTTTTTGCATTCCACTTGTCAATTGTGCAATACCTTTTTCATTTGTGTTTCCTTTATATATTGTTTTTGCTTTTGCATCCTATGCATATCTAAAACATTTTCTACAAATTCATGCATTCACTCAAGCTGCTTGAGTCGAGCATAAGAAAAATGACAACATTTTTGTTAGATCTTTTCAAAAATGAAAAAGGATTTTAAGTCAATGCAGTTCAAAGAAAGTAGATAGTGCTGCAACTTGCAAGTCAAGGATATGTGCGTTATTTTCTTTTTATAAATCCATCCCTTCTGTACTCAACTGCTTCCAAATCCTTTTTTGCCAAGTGGGAAATTTGTGGGGTCCTTTTTTGCCTAGTGGGAAATTTGTAAGCTGTGGTCTTTGAATGTGCAAATACATGTGTACAATGAATAATGTGATAATGCTTCAATGCTATTTAGTTCAGGGGCCGAGGGTTATTGTCGTGGGACCTTCAGATTCTGGGAAGAGTACCTTATCACGGATGCTTCTTAGTTGGGCTGCTAAACTGGGGTGGAAACCAACATTTGTGGATTTGGATGTAGGCCAAGGTTCAATAACAGTACCAGGTTGTATTGCTGCTACTCCAGTCGAATTACCCATTGATCCAGTGGAAGGAATTCCTCTTGAAATGCCACTAGTCTACTTTAATGGTCATGTTAGTCCAAGGTATGTGCTTTGAGTTCTTGACATTCTTTAACCTTCCTGCATTGTACAAGTTCAGAATGTCAGCAAAAATTTACTGTGACTTTTTAGCCCTTCTTTAGGTTCAAAAGAGGGAGGAGGAGGTGGAGAAATGTGGGAGACGGGGAACATGGTAGGAGTTGAGGTGGTTAAAAAATATGTTTTATTCCATGTAGTGAAGATGAATTAGTATTTTGGAATTTGGAAAGAAATGAGCTTTTTTATCTGGTATGACTTTTGTTGTAATAAAAAAATGTTAATCTACATGCAAAACAATAATAATGCAGAATTATTTCGGTAAGAAAATTTGTAAAAAAATTAAGAAAAAAAACCCCAAAATGGGAGAGTAGGTACAAGGAGTTTGGATGCTTTTATAGCTTCTCTAACATCTACTCTCTTCCCCGTTCCTCGATCTTCTCTAACCGAATGCACACAACTCCACTTTCCTCCTTTCCCCTCCAAAATCATCCAACCCAATGAAGGCGAAGAAATCTGGTGCATGATATTTTCAACTTGGTAATTTGCAGTGTAAATGTTGATCTTTACAAGTTAATTGTAAGGGAACTTGCTCAGACTTTGGAAAAACAATTTGCTGGAAATGCTGAATCTCGATCTGCAGGCATGGTTATCAACACCATGGGATGGGTAGAAGGGGTTGGTTATGAGGTAACTGACCTCTAACAAATTTCTCAGGATTTGAAATCTTTAACTGTTTAACATGTGATATGTATATCTCTGATTATCTGACAAGAATTTTGTTTCAGTTGCTACTTCATGCAATTGATACCTTCAATGCCAATGTTGTTCTTGTCTTGGGTCAGGTATGTACACTGAAAGGCATATGAGAATATTCTTTTTTTGAAAGAACTAAATAACGATTTTACAATTATTCCACAACAGTGGGATCTAAAGACAAATTTATTCGAAAATACTCCGCATGAAAAAAAATTGAAGTCTGTAGTAGGTCACACACAATGTCATAATTTATAGTTCATATTTTAGTTTTTTTATTTATGTTTTTTCGTGTTCTTTAATGGATGGTGTGTGGCTGCGATCATCTATTGGTCAACACAGCAATATAAGATGGTCCAATTTCTGTGTTTCTGGGGTGAATCAGACTGGATCTCCATTTAAGTTCTGTACTAAAAAAGTGGATATATTTGATATAAAAAGTTTAGAGATTGATATCTTGATTTTTTATGGTGAGGAAAATATGTATGGGTGTTTCGTAATGGGGAGAATATTTGATATGCAGGAGAAACTCTGGAGCATGCTCAATAATGTCTTGAAAAACAAACCTAATGTCGATGTGGTGAAACTTCAAAGATCTGGTGGTGTCGTATCCAGGAATGCTAAAGTACGCCAGAAGACCCGGGGCATTAGAATACGGGTAAATGTTTTTCTTTTTGGTGCACAAGTTGAGACTTGAGGACCAATTTCTTCTATTCCTTTTCCACCATGTCATCTCTGTTACTTGTCAATGCCACAAAACAAAATAATACTCATGATTATCATTTTTGTTTATACCAGGAATACTTTTATGGTCCATCAAATGATCTTTCCCCTCACTCCAATATATCAAGTTTCAACGACCTATCAATATTCCGAATAGGTGGTGGCCCACAGGCTCCACGTTCAGCTTTACCGATCGGTGCAGAGCCAGCCGCGGATCCAGCAAGATTAGTTCCTGTCAACATCAACCGAGACTTGCTGCATTCAGTTCTTGCTGTATCATATGCCAAAGAACCTGATCAGATCATTTCTAGGTATGCACACCTACCTCTTCTCTATCCAAACACTCCCTCCATAACGAAACAAGTCATGTTTCAAGGCATAATTTTGGCCCGAAAAGGGGTCATTCAAAGACGAACAATGTAATTTTTATTGAGTCTAATATGGTTTGTCCAAAAGCAAACCATATGCTAAATTAAGAATTTTAACTCGTTGACGTTGCGGGTTCATCTTCTCATCTCATTTTCTTACCTATTTTTCTTTTTGGTGCCAGTAACGTTGCCGGGTTCGTCTATATCACCGACATTGACATTCAAAGGTAGGTTTTAAGTCTTTCCCTCTTGTTTTTTCTTCTGAGATATTTCTGAAGTGTGTTTACACAAGTATATATATGTGTATATATATGTGTGTGTGTATACACATATATGTATACACACACGCACACACACTCAAACACACACACAGTAAGTTAATGTTTGTGATAATATTATTAATTTGATTGTTTCAGGAAGAAGATAACATATCTTGCTCCATGTGCTGGAGAACTACCTAGCAAGTATCTTATTGTGGGAACCCTGGCCTGGATTGAGAACTAACTCTTTTTTTATTTCTTTTTTTTTTTTTTTTTGAGATTCAAGAAAACTGATTCTTCTGGGTCATTTTCCTGTTGTAACATTTGTACAGTGCTAAGAGTTTTCTATACCTCATACTGATCATGTTTTTTGCCATTTTTTTTACATTTATACAGAGTAATTAAGATCTACTCTCTCCGGCTTATTTTAAGTTATCTCTTGTTTACATTGTGTGATTGAAATTATTTTTTACCCTGACAATTAATTTATTTCAAAATTGGGAATGCATTAAAAAATATCCTATAAAATTTATACACTTACCTCAAAATTTTACAAAACCAGAGTTAAGATAGACTTGTTTTACCGATTTGAGTAATGAAAATTAGTAAAGAGGTTAAAGTTTGACAATCTAACTAGTAAACAATTAATTTATTTGCAAATTGTGAAAGAATTACAAGTAAAAACTAATGTTTATAGACTTAAAAGTACCTCAAATATTTTACAAAATCAAAGATGAGATGGTTATTGTTTTATCTATTTGAGCAATGAAAATAAGTAACGAGGTTAAAGTTTGATCGTCCAATCAGTAAACTAACAGATTAAAATGGGACACATGGAGTAGTGTTTTGAACATTTTCAAATACCCTATGGTATAGAAAAACAATAACAAAGTGTATGGGAATATTTCCCAGAGTAATACTCCCTCCGTCCTAAAATGTATTCCCAGTTACGGAGGGAGTATGTATGTGTAGATGAAAATGAAATAGAAAAAAAAAAGAAAAAAAAAGAAGCTCAATAGGAAAATAGTTCAATAGCTTCAAAAAAACTATACTCATGTATCAAATGGTAATTTCAAGTCACTACTCAGTATAACTTCCACCAAAACTTAAAGCATTTTCCCCTCTAAACTACTTTGAGGTTGGGAATTGTTGCAACTTGCAACCTTCTTGAAACATTACAGGGCCATTTTTGGGAGAAAAGAAATCCGAAACTTCTTCGAAACGATGAAACGTTGCTCCAACCATTTTCTGTACATTGATAGCTCTACTGTCTGTTCTTCACTCAAGTCAGGTGCTGCAGTAAAAAAAAAGATGAAATTATGGCATCTCTTGTTACACATTCTTGGTAAAAAAACATGTTGTACTATTTAATTCACTTGAAATGAGTGGTTCACATTATTTCGTTCTCCTCCCCATAAACTTCTACCGTAAAATTTCACTTTTTTCTTGAATTCCGTGAAAAAGCAAACGAGAACTTTTAGGAACTTTTAGGGACGGAGGATTTGTTTGGGGATGTGCGGGGTTGGGGGTTATAGGTATTGTATAGAGACTTGCCGACTTACCTACTCATTCATCACATAGCTTTTTTGTGAGCTTTATATGAGAGAATCACATTCCATATTAGAGCAATGAAGTTGGCAGCAAGAACCTGCAAATATATTAGAAATGAATAGATGAAACCATAAAGACAATGATGCCCTTGGGAACAAAATGTGATACTATAATTCTTGTTTAAAAACTCTGACCTGAAACTGTTGTGGGACAAATCGGAAGTTGAAGAATTGAAAGGGTACCCATAGTTGCCAATTTGCAAGAACCGCAGAAGCCCAAACCTGAAAGTCCAACATTTCAACATGACACTCCTAAATACTCCGCGCTAAATAGCACCCGGGCTACGTTATATATTTGAGTCCAGTTATTTTGACGCCAAAGGCAAGTGCCATATTATGACACCGCCCATTTGAAGCCCCTGCAATGCTTCATTGGGGCCCAGAGTCCTCCCCCAAATCGCCATTAAACTACCATGAATCAGGATTACTGTAGCTAAATGGCGCATTGGGGTGGTGGGTGCTTGATATAAATTCCTTTTATGATTTTTTTTTCTTTGCCTTCAAAAAATATTATAAGGTGAAGAGAAAAAAGTCATCACAAAGCACCTGTTGAAGTTTTGGAATCACTTGTGATGGCTGTCCCTCCAGTGTGACCAGTGTAGATAAGAAAACTCCAATAAAAACTGGAGCAAAAACTAACTGCATTTGACCAGAAGAAGCTCACTAATCATACTATAATATACAGAGTACTTTGTATAAAAACTAAAAAACAAAAGAAAACAAAAGAAATGGTAACATTGAAGAACTTGAAGAAAACCTGATCAAGTAACAGGCGCAAGACAGCCCCAGATGCTCCAGTAGTTGTAACCAATCTACTCAAGTAGAGGTACCTAAATTGGAAGTAAAAGAGAACACACAAAATATTAGCACCAATGAATTTAGCAATTGCACAATAAAGAACAAAACAGTGTCTATGTTTGGGACCTCAAAAATGGTTGGGAAACTGGAAAATATAATTAGAAAATATAATTAGATGGGAGGATTTTGACTGGAAGCACAATATGAATTCATGATTATGAGTGCCCTTTGCACGAAAATCAAAACCATGTTTTTAAAGCTTATTTAAGAAAGCTGCAGAGTGGTGCTTAAAAAAAACACTAAAAGTGCTCAAATCATGAAAGTTCTTATACCGTAAGTTAACACAAGCAGTGCGCAGTGCAAGGTATGAATTTTGAATTAAAGATTCTACACGTGCTTTCATTGGTTTAGAAATAAATAAAAGAAAAAGATGAAAGCTAAAAGCTCATATGTAACATACGGAGTATGATGCACAAAAGATATATGAACCATAGACACGACTTTGCAAAATATATATGTTTTACCAAAAGTGCAATGACGGACCAACCAAGACCAGACCCAACAATGTGAAACGAAATGTTCTCATTCCATCAAAAGGCGGGACTTGATCACTCCAAAGCTGAGAATAACAGGCAAAAATATATTAAATGAGCTATATATATACACACACACACACACACCACATTTTCAATTGATGCACATGTAACTTTTTAATTAATGCCATGAAGGTTGTGAAAAATCATGACTGAGAAAAGCAAGAAAACCCCTTCCATCACCCAAAAAAAGTGCAGAAACAAAACAGTAATAATTGACAAATTATTATTTATGGGAATTACAAATGAACAGCATTTCTCCTGAATAAAAAAATATACATTGCCTGTAAATTTCCAAAAAAATATTTACTTGGCAGATCAAATCTCCAATACAAGTCAATAACGCCGATGTGATAGCTTTTGTGCACACGGGGTACTTCTCAAGAAGAGTAAAATACCTGCCAAAAATATAGCATCAGACATCAGTGCTGCATTTCTATAATCTTTTACTTCAAAGCTCAAACTAACAAGTTCAAACCAACCAATGAGTGAAGAAATTTTGGCCAAAATGTTTTAGTTCAAATTAACCTATCAAATGCTTTCGTTAATCATTACCACGGGCACAAGATCATTAACAGATCAGATGATCAATTTAATATGCCAAAGTTTCTATTAATCCTAAAAAAGTGCAGAAGTTCATGGCTTGCTTAAACTGAAAGTAAATGATAATTCCATCCCCAGTTTGGGGTTTACAACTAGGAAAGCAGAAATAGACAGGAAATCCTAGCTTTAATCAGTGAAATCGAATTAAATCAAACTCCAATCATGAAAATGGATCAGTGACAAAGATATACCATGTGAGGAATGATCGCTTGCCCTCATCACCACCGCCGCCGCCGCCTCCATTGCCGCCGCCGCCTCCTCCCCGTGCATTACCTTCGCCGGAGCCACCGTACCCACCGCCAGCGCTAGAACTTGCGTTGGAAACACCAGTGGCCCGGAAAAGATTAGACCCGGACTGAAAAGGGCCAAGATTTTTCAACGAGGGAGCCGATGAAGGGGTGAATAAAGCCGGTAATGGAGATAATGGGCGGGTCGGGTAGCGCGGGCGACGTGGAATCCGATGAGTGTGGGTTGCAGAGAAATTGAGAGAAGGAGCGCGCGGTAAAGAAACATGGAAGCGTAAACCCAACAGATTTTTGCCGGTTAAAGCCCCGGCGGTTGAAGCCATGGAGAAGGTACGTTGATGGAGCTTCACTCCGATGCGAATGCTACGGAGCATAGGCGAAGGGGTCAAAACTCCAAACTATGAAAGATGTGTGACATCTCAAAATATTAAATCTTTTTTAAAATAATAATTTCATGCTTACATTTTACAAAATAGGAGTTACAATACAAAAATATAATTAAAAAAATAATGTGAAATGATATTATAGTCTCAAACTATAGCAATCTTTTAAAGATAAAGGGAGTTAAACATTTATTTTAAAACTTTTTCTATGTTTTATTCTTATTTTATGTGATTTTTTCTTTTTGTGTTTTGCCAAATATCAAAAAAAGGGTACGCCAAGGATTTTGTAGTCCAATGACACCACTATAACTCTCCCAAATGAGAAGTTATGTATTCAATGGGAAATGCTTGGTTCAGAAACTCAAACTATACAAACTTCACAAACTTACCATTTGTGAACTTCAATAAAGAAAACTAAATAGTCTAAAATAATTTTAAAATGAGAATTTAAACCATAAATAGTAAATTTGTGGAGTTTGTGATCCTTCTGTTTGTGAACATAGCATTGCTCGTATTCAATCCCCAATGCCCACAGTGATTGTACGAGCTTAATAGGTAGAGAATGTATGAACAATTTTGATTTCAATTGACTTTAAAAATGTTATAACTAAACGTCATCATTAGATACTCCTCTCGTCCCATATCTTTTTTCTCGTTGCGTAAAACAAAGAAAAACCCATATTTTATCAATATATTGTATTTTAATATTGGTACATAATCAAAAAATAAAATTTACATATTTAAAAACTATATCAAAAGTTTAAAAAAAAGTGATGAAAAAAATATTTTATTTTATCATATAGGTCATGAAAAAATGTAAATGAATAAATATTTCCGTAAAGTTAAAATATTGATATGGAAAGAAAGATATAAGACCAAAGAAATATGGAGTAATATTTACCCGGAGTACAAAATTCTAAATCTAAGTTCTAACATTGTGTCCAAACGAGCCCGTCATGTTTAAAAAGAATGGTTGATTAATGGGGCGCCTCAGTCCGATAATTTTGTTGCCCCTGTCCAATTCCAAGCTAAGCCCAGCCCATTTTAATAAAGAAGCCTGTTTATCTATCTACTCGGCGGCAGCCAGTCAACCCTCAACTAAACAGCGGCTTCTCCGACCTCCAGCTCCTCCGCCTCCGGCACGCTCGGTTTGTTGCCGTTCGACGTCGCCGGCGCCGGCACCGTCCCCGGCGTCATTCCTCAGGTATCCTCTTCTCTCCTCAGGTCCCCTTCTCAGCCTCTCTCTCTCTCTCTCTCTCTCTTTCTTTCTCTTTGACTAAGTTTCTCCCTTTCACAATTTTTTTTGGGACGTGCGAATCTGTGGGCGACTGAGATTTCCTCTTGACCTCTTTTTTGTTATTTTGTGGGATGTTTTCTCTATTTTAAGTTGTG